TCGCGGCCGGCGCGCCCTTGTCGCGCGGGCATCCACACAAGAGGCTTGCGTGAAACCTCCAAAGAGAGGGGAGGACAGGGGTTGAGAGGCAGCAATGGGACTTGGGAAGTTGGGGGAGCTTGGGGGCGGATCATGCGCGGAGGGGCAAGTGCCGAAGGAGGGCTGAGAGGGCGTGAGCTCGCTTGCGGAAGAATTGAAAGAATTGTTGTGGTGCTGAAGTAGAAGCATGTGGGACCCAAAGACGCGATGAAGTTGGCGAGGCTGCGGCCACTGCAGACTGCGGATGAGAGACTGCCTGATGTCTCTTAGAGCCAAACATTGTGCGGTTAAGACGACGAGCACGATACAGGACAGACGTTCAGATCTGGCGGAGCCACCGGCGGAACCAGTAGTGGGTATAGCCACCGGTCCGGGTGTGACATTACACGGCCGCGGGGGATCTCGCATGGTCACACTTCATTGCTTTCGTTGGAATAGTCGATGGAAGTTGACGGGGTCGAGGAGGCCATCCAAGTCAAGTAGATGAAGTAGAATGCCTGAATCATGATCGTATCGCGCATACAGTTATCATGCCGTTAATGACTATCAATCACGACAAGGCATCAGAAAACCGTTGGCAAGTCGACCTTAGAAGTAAGACATGACGCAGATGGTCAGGTTGGCAAGCCAACCCTCACAGCCAGACATGTACATGTTAACCCTGGCAGGCCTTCAGGGGACAAGCCAAGAATGCAAAAATCCCAAAAACACGACACGGGCAGAGAAAACCTGAAAGCCCAAGCAGCCAGTTGACAACAGTTGAATCAAGAAATTCGTACTTCCGTGCACATTTTGGTGTAGCAGTGTAGCCTCTTGGCCTGTCTGTGCAGATACGCAGAGCTGGATAAGATCATGCAGCTTCTGTGGGACATGGTTCCTGTTCCCATTCCACAATCCTGCACACGTTTCTTGTTGCCAAAAACTGCTGCTTGAGGAAGTCTCCCCCCGAATGCACAGCGGCATCCCGCACACGAAAGGCAACACCTGACTTGTGAACTGTGACCACCCATCTGGATTTGCTTCCCGGGTGCCGGCGATGCATAGTTGCAGGTGAAGAAGGTGGCCAACGTACAACCGTGCCGCAACCAATTGATGAACTCCACTGAGACCTCCACGTCACTTGGACACCTGCGGCCAAAAGCGGACAGAGCAAGGCGAGACGTGTCGACATGGGGCGGCGCGGCCAAGGAGCAGCTGGACAGCCATGGTCTGAGCCACGTGGTCTGCATGTGCTGCGGAGGTCACCTTCAGGAGGATCTGTGAGCCGTGCCTCGTCTCAAAGCGTTGGGGCGAAGGCAAAGCGGTCAGAAATCTGCCGAGGCTCCCTTCCTCCAGGCGGCCTTCCGGGAAAACACAAACTGAGAGAGGGCTGTCGGCCGGGGGCGTCTGCCCGCCTTGTTCCAAACCGAGGCTCCGCACCGTCTCGGCGATGGAGGCCTCCAGTACCTCCACCTGCACGAAGGAAGTCTCACGCATCTGGATCCGCTCTTGCTAGGCTCGGCTCTCTGCCGCCGCGGCGCCAGGCTCTCGGTGCAGAGAAGGTCCACCAAACGCGCGAAGCGCAGGAGCCGCCCACACTCGAAGCGCAGCCGCGAGCGCTGCGCGAAGCTCACGTCCTCTCGACCACATGCCTCTTCACTCTTCACTGACTCGAGTCTCCTTTTGGGGTCTTACACTGGAGAGCTCTCAACCGGAAGCCCCCCCGTCCTTGGAGAAGCCGAGGCGCTCCAGAGCCTCGCTGTCCTCTTGATCCATCCCGGCGCGCACGATGGCCGCTGAACCCAGCTGGCGGCCCTCCGAGACACACAAGGTGCGACATCCTGCGACTCCGCGGCAAAGGCGATCCCTGGCGATTTTTCTTGGGCCCCGGCGCTCACCAGGACCTGCCGCGTGAACTCGCTGTTGTCGCTGGTCTCCCGGCGCACCTGCGCACGCACGTATTTTGGCCGCGAAGGGAGCCTGGAGCCGCGCGGCAGCCGCACCTGATCCATCACCGACGAGAGGATGCGCGACACTTCCTGCAAGGTGCAAGGCACTGCAAGGGGCTCGGAACCGAGCGTCTCTACAAGCCCTCTCTCCAAGAGCGGTCCGTCATCACCTTGGCGGCCAACTGCCGGGCACGTTGGAAGAGGTCGTGCTGCCAGTTCTTCTGCGCCACTTGGAATTCCGCCAAAGTCTGCGGCTGGGGAAAATGGCACCGCAAACATCGCAAGTTTGCGACATCCTGAAAAATCTCGCGCACAGTGAAGTAGCTCGAACCTTACTTTCTGGCTGCAGCCCTCTGAAGAAAGCGCGGCACAGCTGATACATGTGAAGGCCTAGTGACGGAACCAGGGGTGCAGGAAGAAGACACGCTCTTCCAGCACTCGTCCGGCTTTCGTCATCCGACCCCATCTCCCAGCATTCCGCCAGTGCAAGAAGGCTTTCCTTTTGGGAAACTCCTGGAAGAAGTTGAAACGCCGCAACAGCCGGAAAAGCCGCCGTTCCTGCAGCCAGCTCTTCAGGGAGACGAAGGCCGTCGGCAAGCCCTTGAAATACGTCGACATCCCCGCAGGGCTCACGGTCCTTCAGGGGTCAGGGCCTTGCGGCCCCAGCGGCCACTGCCAATATCCTAGTTTAGCACGCAGGGAGCACCAGGAATAGATACAAGGCAGACGGATAGACGCGGTCAAACTCTCCGCGTAACCGTGGTGACAAAGGCATGCTGGCGCATCCGGAAGTTACCCGACTCACGAACCAATCAAGTTGGGAACAGTTCTTGCATGAGTGCCAGTGGGTTTGCTTCCTGGGCAGGGCAAGCAAACACCCGTCCATTGGAACAACTGACTCGATTAGCGCAGCAAAAGAGCTGTGGAGCACATGTCCTGCGACTTTCACTACTTTCACTTGCAACCTAGGAAGCTCGAGATGAAGCTTGCTGCAGGTGAGCATTCCCGCTAAAAGAAAAAAGAAAATCTGCCTTTCTAGGCCCGCCCTCGGTCATGTAGCTCTCCAACTGCACCTCCCTAAAGGGCACCAGTTCCAAGTCGTAGGCGCTGCCACCCTCAATGTGTCGGACATACACGAACTCTTTCCCCAGCGTCTCCTCCCGCTGCTCGGCCCCTCTCAAAATCTCCAGAAAAATGTCGAAAGGCCGGCCCAGCGACCCAAACTCCTCATGCATGGCAGGCATGGCAGCTGTCCGTTTCAACAACGGCGGCGCAAGCGTGCCTCCTGCGAGTCGCTCTCGGGCTCCACGTCCCTCACCGCCAAAAAGCGAGAGCCAAAAAGAGAGATTAAGGCGCTCCTTTCAAGCCTTGCTGTTTCTAAGGCTTTCTGCGGCCGCGTCGCATGTGGACGATGCCGAGCTGGGAAGTCTGCGGGTAGGCCACCAAGGCGGAAGGCTCCGGCGGGTCGTGCATCTCAGGCGACAAGGAGACAACCCGGGCGCCCGTCTCGCCGGCCTGGCAACTCAATGAGTGAGAAACCCATAATGCCCATAATATCAACAATAATCTTTGTCGCTCACAGGCGCACTGCCTGCATCAGCGAGAGAAGAAGAGGTACTTGTCCCAGAACGATTGGGGTCGTATGTTCAATGAGCAAATGATGTATTTGCAAACCCAAAGCAACAATGACTGCAAAAGATAACAGGCCTCTGAGTAAACCGTCACCAAACAATCTGGCATTCGTACGAAACATTGTATGGGAATTAGAGGCAGCAAAGACTTATGGACACATATATATATATACATGGATCCGATAACAAGATTTAACTGGTCGTCTGCACGTAGCTTTACATGATGGGAGCTGTCTGGGTAAGCTTTTCATGTGCTATAGTATACGCCGGAAGTCTCGATCCAAAATGATGTGCGCCCACGATTGGCGTTGGACTATGCAGAGGTGTAAGCGAAAAATGGCGAGAAATGTATGCGATTCTTTATGTTGAAATGAAAGAGATAGATTGACCGGTGCTGTGCATTCTTCAGGGTTGAGACAAGCATGGTTTTGTCGGCAAATTGTAAGAGTCCTATCTTCGAATTATAGAACATGAGGAACAACCCGAGGATTAACGCAGAAAAGACTTATCGGAACGTATCGATGGGAACTCCACAATGAAAGTTAGTTTTTATAAGTATATTTCACACTGAATGGGCGCCCATATCGGGCATCAAGAATAACGGGGTTGTACAGCACTGAGAATCATGTGCATGCAAACTATTAACTATTACTGATATAGGGTTTTGTTAAAAAGACTTTGTATGGAAAACAGCGTTTTGACTGTAAAATATCCGGTGGGGGGGCGCAATGTGTTACACTCTCCCAACAATATTGCTGGTATTATTTCTATATAGATAGATAGACAGACAGACAGGCAGAGGGATAGAGGGCAATCGGGGGAGATAGAGAGATAGAGAGATAGAACAGCAGGGAGATGAAGATGGAGAGGTGTCCGAGCCTGCGGCAAAGGCGGCAGAAGCAGAGAGGAGAGGCGCTGGGAGCTCTCCGGAGCGGGAGCGGGAGCGGCTCTCTCTGGCCCCAGGCTCGGGGCTGTGGCTGCTCCTCCCAGCGCTCTTCCAGAGACCTTGTCCAGGAGCCTCTGAGCATCGGCGACCTCCCCGCACAGAAAGGGAGGGAGAGAAGAGAGGAGAGAGGAGAGGAGAAAAAGAGAGCTCTCAGGAAGCGCGGTCTCCTTGAGACCGAGCCGGGCCGAGTTCGGCCGCGGTACGTCCCTCTCGAGGCCAGGACGAGTCCGAGCCCTCGCAACGGCGGAAGGCAAAAAAAAGAGCAGACCTTCTTGCACAAGAAAGCTTCATTAGCTTTCTTCCCTCTCCTTGGCGATGGCGATGGAGATGGCTCCTCGTAAAGCCGCCTGCAAAGCAGCACTGCCGCAGCGGACTCGTGAGACCAGTCCCCGACCCGCCTTCGAAGCTGAGACCGCGAGTGCATGGCTCCATCACCAAGACAATGCAAGATCAACACCTAGTACCGGATAGTCTTGCACTTGGGTCATGAGAACTGTCAGCCTAGCATGCCCGCTTCACAAGCCGAAGCAGCAGCGAAGCAGCTGGAAGCTATGAGAACGCCGCTGCCGCTACAGGCGCGTACCGGCGGGCAGAGACGCCGTCTTCCCACCCGCTTCAAGCTGCGCGTTCGGAAGCGTCAGAAGATGTCAGAAGCATCTGCTCGGCCCAGGGAATGCCGGGTCCATGTCCATGGGAGGTCTCTGCCGCTCTCAGTGCTCCGTGAACTCGTCCTCGTAATCCGTCAGCAGCTCTCGCCTCAGGGGCGGGCGCAGCAGAACCGCGCACGCAGCAGCAGCGGCACCCAGCGCAGCCGTTTCTCCGCCACAGAGAGCGCCGCAGAGCGCGGGCAGTGGTGGCACCTCCTGGGCCCCCCGGCCTGGCACGGAGCGCACACGCCAAGCCACAGGCGACGAAGCCTCGGCAAAGAGAATGAGAAGGGCCTTGAAAACGGGGGGGGGTGGGCTTTTTTCTGAAAACGGGGGTTTTGGTGTTTGGACTCCTACCCAGCAAGAGGCCGCCCAGGAACACCGACATGCCAATGCTGCCTTCACGTCTCCAAACACCACAAGGCCCACAAAAATTGCGACTTCTGCGCTCCGCCTTTCACCGGCTGAGGCGTGCAGGGTTCTGCCTCCAAGCGCAGCGTGTAGCGCGCCTCGGGCATCTGTGGGGCCGTTGGCAACCAGAACAAGCCACATGGACGATTCTGCTGACACGAGAAGAACAGCAGCCGAAGCACTCGACCTGTGAGCATGCTTGCAGCATTTGAGTGAGCATACTAACACTTTGACTGAAACGCGGCGGTCAGTGTGATCGAAGGCAGACGAGCAAAGTGCAGCAGAACGCAGAGCCAGCCGGCAACGAGCAGCAATATCGGCAGGTGCATGTAGAATCAAAATGCAGCAGAAAAAAGCATTGGCCGGCAACGGATGCTCACCGAAGCAGTGCACCAACGGCGTCGGGCCTGCGAGGTCTTCTGGAAGCTGCACGTGGACGTGTTGGCCGCTGCGCAAAAGGCCTCGGTGGCCTCGAGCGGAGGGAGGGCAGAGCACCGCACCGCGCAGCAGCGCGCAGCGCATGCCGGCCCTCCATGGCCATGGTGCCTCCTCGTCCCGAGCATCTTGGGTTTGATCCTCCAGGCGGTTGTACCAGCAGGGAATCCTCGGGTGCGAGAGAGAGAGGAGAGAGGAGAGAGAGACAGGACGCGGCGCGCGCGGCGGGGCTCGCCTGCTTCGGTTTTGCGTCAACAGCTGCAAGCGCCGGTCCTGCCCAAGGACGCCAAGGACGCACCACAAACGGCGTCTCTGCATTCCTCCGCGTTCCTCCACCTCTTTTCCCTTGTGTCTCGTCTCCTCTTGGAGGTCGATGGGCGAGCCGCTGCCGCATCGGTCGGCCTGGCGCTTCAGAGATGCCCAATGAAGCAGCCTTGTAGAGAACCGCTTCTCAAAGCGCTAACGCGCACCTGTGCATCAAAGCAGAGACCCCCGTCGTCCGCCCTTCGGCCTCTCTGCACAGCGCACAAGAGAGAGAGAGAGAGAGAG